GGGTAAGAGGAGCACAAATGAACATTATTAACTTAATTATGTGATGATTAAGTTGATACGTATAAGGTTTGAAATGGCGGACAACGAAAACGTTGACCGATGGATAATGGATTAATTAATACCGGATGGTACTAGTTAATTATGAATTTATATAAACGCATGGCTTTGCATGGGTTGTGATACATAAGCCTTATGTATTGATTTAGCTATGAATGAATAAATATGATATAGACTCTATCTAGGTTGATAGGAGGTTGATCATAGGATTATAAATTGGTAGAGGACCCTAGGACTTAAAGTCCTTAACACTCATATTATATTTTGGTGGAGGACCCTAGGACTTAAAGTTCTTAACACTCATATTATATTTTGGTGGAGGACCCTAGGACTTAAAGTCCTTAACACTCATATTATATTTTGGTGGAGGACCCTAGGACTTAAAGTCTTTAACACTCGGATTATAAATTGGTGGAGGACCCTAGGACTTAAAGTCCTTAACACTCGGATTATAAATTGGTGGAGGACCGTAAGACTTAAAGTCCTTAACACTCGGATTATAAATTGGTGGAGGATCCTAGGACTTAAAGTCCTTAACACTCGGATAACAAATTGGTGGAGGACCCTAGGACTAAAAGTCCTTAACACTCAAATACAAAATTGGTGGAGTACCCAAGGATTATGATCCTCAAAACTCATAGATTATGATATTGAAGTATGGACAAAGAGGAGTCCTATACACTCATAGGCATATGGGTGGGTTGTGGTTTTTAGTCAAGGATATTGACTATTAATATTTTCCCAAATAAAACGGTGATCTACGGATCAGATATTTTCCAAGTGTATATGTACTACTAAGTATTTCTTAACTTGGGGGAAAAGACTATTTATATAAGTATCACCCTATGTTTGGGTCTTATACTTGAAACGCTAGTTATTCTATATTTAGCCTGCTACTCGCTCGGTACTTGTACTGGCTCCTTCGGAGGGGCCCACCATTTCAGGTTGAAGTTAAGGCTTGTCATCTACACCTTTGCACGGGTGGAGAGAATCCAGAGGAAGACGTGGTTCATGCTCCCTCTGCTATTTCAAAAGATAAACTATGCTCATGGATACTTTTGTATTAATACATTGTTTTGACCTACGTTTTGGCCATGTGTGGCCCACGATTGATTATTGAATATTTCCGCTATTCAACTAATCTAAAGTGTGATGTTGTGTATGTTTACTACTGAGTATGGATATATATTATGTTCATGAACGCCTTGTATGATTAAGACACGTTGACTGGCGAGTGGCGTTACTTGGTCATACGACGGTTGTACACGCGCCTAGATGCGGTCTGGGACGTGTCACTCTCTCACCTACTAGCCATTTATTGCCAATGGTTGGATGGGGCCCCCCTCCTCCTGCCCGAAGCCATGAGCAAAAGAGTCGCACAGACTCTCCATCGCCTTTATCATACAGAGATGGGCAGAATTTCTCAGCGTGTCCAATGACACCACAAGCAAAGCAGAAACTGGGTAGTTTTTCATATTTGAAATCTACCCAATACCTTTCCCCTCTACTCCTTTTCAAAGTAGTACCCACTTTTAAAGGTTTCCTCAATCCAGTGTGACCCTGATTCTCATATATGTTTCCTTCCCATTTTTCATCAAACTGTTTATCATCCCAGGATAAAAAAATTCCCATGTAATTCCCTATATTACGAGCATTTCCATGTTTGAAAAGCCATACGGAATATTATGAACCTGAACCCAAAAATCAGTCGTATCTAGAGGTATTTTCTGAGGCATATCACCTTGTTTAATAGCTTTTAACATTAGCAGATTCTGGTCGAACAACCAGGGACCATTATCCAGCACACGATTCATATCAATTTTGTGGTAAAAAGTAAATAAATATCTCTTCTCCCCAATCTCCTGAATCAACACTCCTTTACCAGGACGCCAGAGAGATGCCATTAGGTCACGAAAAATTGGAAACTTCACCACTTTGTCGGTGAGAATCGTACCGACCACGGGAAAGTCCTTCACGACCTTACTCGCCACGTCGGGGTCTTCTTCCTCGATGTCCTCGTCGTCCAGTAGTAGCTCATCCCCTGTGCTTCCTATCCCCAATCCGTCGTATTGGGCGGTTAGCCTATCCACACTCTTCCCAGCAACTACCGCCGCCGAAGCCTCCCCTTCCTCTTCAGAAACTTCCTTCATCGTCTGAGAGATTGCTCCGCCACTCCCTGAAGGTCCATCCGATCTGCTGAGTTCCTTGGTGCCGATCTACTTGTCATCCTTCCTTTGCTGTTACCGCACTCTTACGGCGGAAGTTCTCAAACCCTACGAAGAGGGATAGGCTGCAGGTTAGATGGCTGCTGTATTTTTACTAGACGAACGTTTAATATCGCATAATGACAGGCAAAAACAAAGTGACAAGGAATTAAATCTAGCCAGGCAAAATAGAGTTTTGACTCGTGAAAAAGGCAATTGGATGGACAGCGACGGAATTTTTTATCCGCGTTTTAGTGTCTTAGCATGAAAATCTCTTTCCACCTTTTCCCCATTTCGTGTCTTAGAGTTTTTTTTAGGAAAAAAGAAGAGTATAATGATTCTATATATATTTTGGGGTTTGAAGGCAATCACGCACCATTGATTATTTTCCATGAAAGAGACGTTAATACTCCGTATTAATTAACCCAAACAAGTCGTACTAATAACGTACATATACAATGATTGCAGGTTCTTTTATAGTAACCCAAAATCCACGCATCTCCATGATTTTAAAATTCATGATTTTTCTATTACATATCATTGTCACATCACATTTATTCAATAAACTTTAAATAATCTCAAATCTTAAAACTCTTCATCAATCATGATACTTAAATAATTAGTTTTTCTACACCATGCATTTAAATACAAACTAAATAATCTTCCTAAATAATCTTCAACAATTTAAATACAAAGTAAAATAATTCATGATCCAAATCTTGATACCGGATTTTCTTTTTCAATAATCTTCCTAAATAATATCTAACTAACAATGATAATCTATCAAATAATTTTCCAATTCATCATCCAATTAAACCTTAAATAATCTTATGGATGAGGATGCCCTTATAACGTGAGATCATCCCATAATAAGCATCATGCTTCTGCGCTCAAAATGACTCAGTTTTGAATTATTTTTAATTAAAAAAAAGTACGCATGAACAGTAGACGCATTCACAATAATTATTTTTTTTTGCCTTGTTCCAGTAGCAGAATGATGTAACTCGTGAGTAAAGAAATGTATATCACGTTAATAAGAAATATTACTGCAGACAAATCAAAATGTAACTTTTATAAAACATTGATTACAATGTAACCAATAAAAAGGAGTCCAATTGTTTATTTACTTTACCTAAATAGTAAATATGTTTTGTTTTTAATATTAAGATCATATTTTTTTCAAGAAATCCTTTTTTCTCAAAAATCATTTTTTTTTGCAAAAAGAAGAACCGATTTATGTTTTTTTTGTTTTCAATAATAACGAGAGTTTATTTTGTCATTATGAAATACAATATACTTATTTTATGTGGATTAATAAAATTATGTAATAAATTGGTAAATAAAAAGATTAATTCAATTGTAATTAGTTAGTTAAAGATAAAGATAAGTAAAAAAAGCACAAATAATAGATGTAACTCAAGCATAATTAGATGCAACTCGCGCATAAAAAATATGTATCTCACGTATAAGATGATGTAACTCACACATAACAAGATGTAACTCATGAATGAAAAGATGTAACATGCACATAAGAAGACGTAACTTTGTATATTATCAAAAGTAACTCCAAGAATCAAAATAAACAAACTCAATGTCTTAAAAACCTCTAAAAACATATAAAAGAGAAAAAAAATATTATAGAAAAAGTGTATGAATATAAAAATATGTTAGAAAAAAGTGTATGAATATAAAAAAAATATATTACAAAAAAAGTGTATGGATATAAAAAAATATTACAGGAAATAAACTTATTTTATTTAGATTAGTAAACTTTTTGCTTTGTATTGATAAAAATAAAAAATAAATAGATTCAATTATAAATTAAGTAGAACATAAAAAAAATAAATTACAGTTAAATTTTTAGTATTTTAAATTGATGGAAAAGGAGAAGAATTGAAGAAAAGAAAAACAAAGAAAGAAAATCAAAAGAAAAGGAAATAACAAAGCTCGAGGGAAAAGAAGAAAGCAGCGTACTTAACTTTCTAAAGTAGGATCAGCAGACCATGCGGAAGGTAGCTCCCACGTAGTCCTGCATAAAAACGGGCTCGGGCCGAGCTCGGGCTAGGCTTTTAATAAATTTTCTGCCATTTATGTGTGGGTGGGCCCGGCCCGCAAATTTCCCAGCGAAACCCGTGAACTAAATTGACGAGAAATTCAAAACCCCAACCCACCAATAAATTGGTTTAAACGGGTCAGCTCGCACTAGTTTCGCCCATTTTAGCGGCTCTAGATAGGACTTGTGACTTCATTTTTCGTACAACAGAGAATTGAAATTAACTGCACTAAATTAATGTGAAGACTAAATTAAACTATATTCTGATGTTGATGTTAAAAAATTGCGTTCTTTAAAAGACGCCCGGGCATAATTGCTTAGGCAGTGTTTGGAAACACTTAAAAATTGCATTCAGAAGAGCGTTCTAGCACTTTCGAGTGTCGTCATATTTAATAGGGAAACAACTAAAAGCCTTGTAATTAATTTTCTTAGGGAAACTAAACGGCCAAAGCAATGAAAGATCCCACTTTTTACAAATTGGCGCCCAAATCGATCCTTCAAGTACACATCTAAAACTGCCAACCTCACTTTTAAAGGAAAAAAATCATAGCACCTATCCCCCAAGCACATTGGACAACTGAACACTGAGATCTAATCATGTCCACTAGCAATCAAGTTGCTGGAAATGACATCCCATTTGTCATTCCTAAGAAGAGAATTAAAAAGACGAAGAAAGGGCTAAACTTCAAGACCAAATACAAAGGGACATCTGGTGAGGGGGGAGAGCGTAGAACCTGTGTGTTCTTAGTGCCAGATGAAAAACTTGAGATAGGATTGACATTTTCCACCGCGAAAAGGATGGCTTACCTATCACAGGATGAGGATGAAAGAGATTTTATGTCCTATGCTGCGAGCATGTTGCAGATCATATTCCCTGATCTCAAGAAAGTGATAACTAAATTCTTATCTGAGAAGGGCATAGATATCAAGCCAGTGAAGATCCCATCTGAGTCTCACCATCCATCTGTGGAGTTTGACCCTGATAAAGACATGAGGTGGACGGCGGTTCTTGTGCAAGGAGCTTGCCTCATTCTCGTGGTTTTCAAAACAGCATCTGAAGAAAACTATATGCCTTATATGGCCACGAGACTTAAAGCTTTGAAGTCTAAGGTTGGAACGCAGGAGGACATAGAGTCACCTTTTGACCTACGTGGAGCACAGATGGTCAGGACCTGTTTAGGAGCAAGCAGTGATCTGAAAAGAGCGATCATAAACCAGGTTATCAACAGTATCAACAGTGATGGCATGATGGCTGATGTCATGGCCTATGTCTTCTCTATGCTGGAGTACAATGAGATGAACTCATTCATGTTCATTTACGAGACGATTCTGATCACCAAATCAAGCATCTTAAAGAGGCCAGAGATTCAACATGAAGTGGAGTTGCTCACTGATGCCATGGTCAAGATCGGAGAGTGTGACCACCCTCAGTTTGCCAGATACCTTCTTCACTCTGCATATCAGACATACTTGGAGAGATCAAAGTTCCCCATCCTTTTTGCTGTGGCCTGTAAGCTCAAGGAACTGGCGCATAAAGTTGAGTCTATCAAGCAATTCGTTGTCCCTGATATTGCCAGCTCCTCTCTGGTAACTGACCTGGTGAAAGAGCACCAGGAGTTCTTGAAATCAGGGAAGTCAAACATTCTTAAGAGGCACATCTCATTCCTTACCGACCATCTGGAAGATGCATTTGAGGAAGACAGCACTGATGATGACAGTGAGTAGTGCACTGGAAGTTGTTCTTTTCCATTTTAGTTTTTTGGTGTTTTGGATAGGCTCTACTTGATAGGCCAAATGCTCTCATGTTATCTTTATGGTTTTGCTACTAAGAAGAAGAAAAAAAAAGATTTTTACGAGGGTTGTAGCATTTTGGAGGTGAATAGCTCACACCTGACTTTATTTTTTCACGTACCCCGTGCGATGCGGTAAGTCTTACAGGGTCACATTGGTGTTCTGACTTCATAAGGGAGTCACATATGATTCTTTAAACTTTTGAAAATAATACGCCTTACTTGTTGAAAGCAAACCCTAACATTTCTTGTTCCATCCCTAAATAATAGGGATGAACATTGTCATACCCTAGACCACACAAATGACACGCAGACGATCGCCGTACAACCCAATAAGAACAGCAATAGTCATTCCTATTGAATTATACAAGGCGTCCGATAGATTCCGTTGCCAAACCGATTAGTAAACTTATACATTCAATATCAATATTATAATCATACAAATGCGAAAATTATAATATGTTTGATATTTAGCCACACGTGGCAAACATGAACACGCATATCCTCAAATTGTTTAATAGTAGAAAACAGTGTTCAAATAACCATGAGCAAATTCCATATATTCAACAAATAGAAATGAACAACTCTTTTTAAAAAAACTTATAGAAATTAGTTCAAATAAGACTAAAACTATGGTAAAAACCTAAAATAAAACTTGCTATGCTTTTATTCCAAAATAGGATCATATGAGTCCTATTGGAAACATACCTATTTTTGCATTCCATTCTTACCCTTCCATTAAATATGAATTAAAAATAGTCAAAAGCCATAATTAAATGTTTAATTCATAATAAATTTGAAAAAAATTCAAAAATTCGTAGAAATATAACTAAAAAATTTATAAAATTTTTATAAAATAAAAAATTCAATTTTTTTTAAAATAATTTTATTTTTAAAAAAATTAATAAAAAATAGTAAAACTCCGTAAAAAAAATTTAAAAAAATATGGATGCCTTTCCCACCGCCTGTACTACCTCCCAGCACCACCACCTCCGGTCGATGAAAAAAATGCCATTTTCCCAGAAAAATGCCATTTTTTTCTGAAAATGCCAAAAAAGTGACATATTTCTCTTTTAGAATGCCAACATTTTCATTTTTTTCTGCCATAAATATGGCATTCGTAATGAACTTGACATTTTTTCCCCTGGTGACTGGAGGTGGTGGTGCTTAGGCGGCAGGGGCGGTGGCGATTTTTTTTTTGAGTTTTTATTTTTTTTTTAAATTTTTTTTAATTTTTTAAATTTTTTGAAAAAAAAATAATTAAATTTTTAATATCGAAATGTTTTTCTTAATTTTTTAGTATTTTTTCCGAATTTTTATTATTTTTTATTATTTTATTAGGAATTAAAACATTTTAATAGCTATAAGGGTATAATTGTCCAAGGTACACATAATTAGTCCTATGCAAACATAGTTCATTTTTTGGTCCTATTTGTGAAAAGTGAATGACTTTTAGTCCTATTTTGATAATTAGCTCAAAAACTTAATACTCCGGCCGTAGTATATAATAATTCGCACAACAATAAAAACTATGCAGCATAATTTAAATTATTAACCAATTTCATTATTTTTAAAATGCAACCTTTGTAACTCTAACATACGTTCCTTCTCTCTGTTAAATTATTGCACTCTAGTCTCTAATACCAAAATCATAATCACAATTCATTCTGGTTTAAGCCATTTCTATTTCTAATTCATCGGACTGGCCAGTTTACTTCAATCAAACTTATTTCCTTTCATGTTCAATATGTTAACACAAAAATATATTCGTATAACAATCTTCTTAATACTTAAGCTTAGCGATTTATCAAATAACACTATTTACACATAATTAAATTTTTTAATGAAACTCAGTAATTTTTACTAGAAAACATTTTTTGAATTGAGATCAGTTGTAAAATGTTAGATTATACGTAGTATTGTGGAATAAAATTACACTTCTCGTGTTCTTTAATAATCGAATCATTTAAAATTTTTACACTATTCACATATTTTATTTTACCACGATTTTCTACTAATAAATACTTCGTATAATTAATTATTATTTATAAAATACTACTAGGTTTAACCTACATTTGGTAAAGCCACACTCCTTTAAGGTAAAGTATCGTCTTTGTTATTTGACCTTGTTCCAATTCAATGATTCCAAAAAAAACATACTAGTATGAACCAAAATTGTTAAATTAGGAAGGAGCGCGTGGGGTTGCTGTACAGTATTTTTCACCGACGGTATAACGTCAATATTGAGGGGTGGCTGTTCTATTGTTGACAATTCTGCCCTGCCTACCACAAAAATATTTTAATAAAATTATGGGCGACGGAGAAATACTTTCTCCGTTCTTTTTTAATTGTAATAATCCATTTTTCATGTTTATCAATGCATAAATTTGAACTTTAATACTTTTCATTCATTATTGGTAAAAAATTAAAAAAAAACAGATTTTAAAAATTTAGAATGATCAGAATTTAAGAATATTTTTTTTAAAATTAAATCATAATATATCAATATATAAAATATAGTCAAAGTAGAATCTCTGAGTAGTGCAAAAAGTTCAATATTATAATTAAAAGAAAACGGATGTAGTATATAGGCTAAAGGGTCATGCCGTCATACTCTATACATACAATTATATATGGGAGATTTCTCAAAATAGGAGTAAATGAAGTTTGAAATTCCAAATTAGGACTACTATGTTTTTATTCCCGAAATGAGACTAACATGACAGTATTTACTGTCATCTTCTAGGCGTGACTATCAAATAGTTGCAGTACATTGCATTTATCATGACAACATTTATTATAATTAATAACAGTATTTTTCAGTCATGGCAATATATTTCATACATGACAGTAACGACTCTTATTTCGGGAAGAAAAACATACTAGTCCTATTTTGGATATCCAAATCCCATTTGCTCCTATTTTGGGCAATTTCCCATTATATATTTATTTAAATTTACCTGAATATATCTAACTTATAATTTGGATCATGATAATATACAACTACTAATATAATATCATATCATAAATTGTCGTCTTTTAAGTATGTATAAATTGCATTCATAATAAAAATGAAAAAGAACTACAAGTCAACAAAAGTTTCGTCCCAAATTTTGTCCGCATTCTTTTTCTTGGTAGTAAATTACAACAAATTGCATATTTTGCTATTTAGTTTTGTGTGATATCATTGTGGTAAGTAATGATTTTTAATTGTAGTCATTGTGTGGTATATAAGTCAGAATAAATTCTCACACATTCCTTAATCTTTAATTTCATTGGATTTGTATCTATCTTATTTCGTAGTCTAAACCATTAATTTAAGGGAAAATTTACAAATATGAGCAAATCGTACTAATTTTCCAAAATTAAGACCGAAGATTAGTGTAAGACTCAACTAAACCTGCATTGATCACAATACCCTTACTTTTAGAAAATAATAGACATTCAATAGACACTAAATAGACAATAAGTAGACAATTAATAGACAGTTGGGGACGTACATCCCCTGAAGTAGGGGGAAAACGTCTCCAATTAGGGACATACGTCCCCTGAAGTAGGGGGAAGTGTCTCCAGTTGGGGACGTACGCCCCCCGAACTGAGGAATTTCAAACTCAATTTACTCAAGCTGAAGGGGCAAATTTGGAAACTAATAATTGAGTTTCTTAAAATAGGAGTACACGTGTCACACGGATGGAAGAAACATTAGGTAGTCATGATTTGGTCCTACCGGTGTCAATTTTCTCTTAATTTAATCCATTTAGGTGTACTTTAGGTACGTAACTTCAGGTAATCTTGGACCATACTCTAACTAGCAAGCTGTCACTAAAAAATTCATGAGATGAAGTTATAAGAGCATCTCCAATGCTATAATGTGCACGGTGCACATGTGCCATGAGAGAGATAGAAACAAAAGATTAAATTTTTGACATTTCTCTCTCCTTCTGTCCACGGCCTTATGTGTTTTTGGTAAGTTTTTATCCACAATGTCTACATCTAGACATTGTATTTGACATTGTAGAGAAAAACTTACCAAAAACATATAAAACGTTCAAATAAGGAGAGATATATTCAATTTGTTGTTTTTTATTGGTTGTCTCTAATTCCACGTATATATGCATCGTTCATATTTTTGCATTGGAGATGCTCTAATAGTAGAATAGATATGAATGTCCAACTATTTACGAATCCATGCATATGATCCCCTTCCACTCTAAGGGATTATTTATAAAGATTATTTAGAAAGATTATTGAAAAAGAAAATCTGGTATTAAGATTTGGATCCTAGATCAATTTAGATTGTAGTTAAATTACATTTAATGCAAGGTTTACAAAAACTGATTATTTGAATATCATGGTTGATGAAGATTTTTACGATTTTAGATTATTTAAAATTTATTGAGCAATGTGATATGGCAATGATATGTAATAGAAAAACTATTTATTTTAAGATCATGAATGGAGATCTAAGGTAAAAAAAACATTAGCCCTGTATGTGACATTAAAATTGTCGAGTCCAGAAGTGATAGTTAGAATGTTTTAGGTCCCTAATGTTAGATTATTGGACTTATACTACATGTAATATTCACAGTATATTATTTATCGGGTTTAATTGTATGTTATATGTTATCTTATATTTAGGCCCAAAAATTAGTGGTCCTATGGATATTAATTTAAGTGGGCTAATAAGTTATCTAATAAGGTATAGGGCCCAAATGTGTAGAGACCCATGTGCTTGACCTAATCAATGATGGGCTGATTAGGGTTAAGCACTCTCTATAAATAAAGGGTTATGGTCCCTAGTTGTACACGTCATTCCGTCTTTCTGCATCCCATCGCTAGAGAGATAATCCCGAGGGTGTGTATCAGCTAAAAGACGCAAACCCTAGCCACCGTCTCCCGGATCCCTAAAGATCATCTCCCATGGAGTCAGGTACGCTTCCGCTCAGTTAATTCTCTAGATAATTTCAATATGAAGATTAAAGTATTCATGGATTTATTCCAACAATTGGTATCAGAGCCTCCTTCATATTGAATTATTTGGAGTCAGAAATTAGGGTAATTCGTTACTATGTATTCCAAGGATGAATCGAAGCTGATAGACTCAT